TCGGCGTAGGCCTATCTATTAGGGATTTAGGTGTTTGGGGTCTTTAATTTGTTTGGCCTCCTTTACAGAAGGCCTGTCAACGTGAGACCTTAATTAAAAAGTAATTATTCGAATAGTGTACAGAAACAACAGGCTGAGGTATTTATTGTGAAACTTGTGCCTATGTTGATGAAGGCCTTAAACGGTAAAACCCGTTTCTGCGACTGTTTTCTGCTCGTGTCTCTGATTAATAATCTGCGACGAAGGTTGAAACTTCGGTCGAATATAAGTTTTGTCCTCCTGATCGCATCTTCTTTATCGCAAGAATCCTTAAGCCAGAATTTGCAACGATGTCAAAACAAGGTATGGCATAGAATATTTTTTATGAATTTCTATGTTGTATTTGATGTCCTTAGTTTTAAAACTTTCCTCTTCGTTTGAGAATCTGTCAATTTTGATGAGCATAACGGATGATATCGGCGTCTTCTATGCTTCTTCTTCATTTGGGATATTATAATATCCCAATATATTGTACTATTTTTACAAATTGTTGTATTTGTTGTAATGCCCCAATATATTGTACTATTTTTTTTACAAATTGTCGCAGTGACATTCAGTTACTAAATAATTTTCTTCCCCATGGGCGAGTTTATATGTTTCGTGAAATGTTTAACGATACGAACAGATAGTTTCTGATCTAGTGAGTAAGTTTTAGAACTTCGCATATCCCTAAAATATAATAAAAATCGGTCGACTGGAGTGTTGGAGCTTTGTTTATGGATGCCGAGTCACCTACTGTAGACCTTGCTGATCTGGATGGCAGTATAACTTATATATACTGTACGTCCACTTTCGTGAGATTTCCTCATTCCAATAGTGTTTTTATTATCAATCTTGCTCGCTGGGGACGTTTTCGCCTTCCTCGTCTGCAAACACCTGTGGTCACATAGTCATAAAAAATTAGTTCTGGAATGCATGAACAGATGTCAGTATGATATGTATAGTCTGTCAAATAGTTACTTTACTCATCACGGCAAAGGTACTGAGTGTGTGTGTGGATTACATAACTAGAACGTCCTGTCACTTCAGTCAGAATGACTGAATGAGCGAGGTTTATTATTCTGGCATTGCACGTCTGGAACATAGGATTCGGCCTGTAAAAGTTTTTGTCAAACCACCGAATTGATTTCCATTACCTAAGAAGCCAACGGGTTGCGCAGTCCACATTGGCTGCCACAAACCCGCGTGTGTGGAAAGGTATAATACATAACTGACTAGATCAGGCATGAGCAATGCCGTTCCAATTACAGTAGATTGCGTATCTGATGCAAGATTGGGGATTGGAGGATTTAACGCACACTTTAGATTGTTTAGTTAGTTCTGTGGGCTCTTGGCCCTACTTATGTGTAGTTTAAATTTATCAATAACCAATTTTGTTAAACTCGAATACAACACACTTGC